AAGATGACAGCTTCTTCGACTGAGAAGGTGGGTGGCTCTGAAAAGAGCCTTTGGCGGCAAGCGGCCCGGCGACTCGTGCGAGCGCCACGTCCCGGCAGGGGCTCACTTGGAGCTGGTGTACTTGGTGACGGCCTTGGTGCCCTCGGACACGGCGTGCTTGGCCAGCTCGCCGGGCAGCAGCAGGCGCACGGCCGTCTGGATCTCCCGGGACGTGATGGTCGAGCGCTTGTTGTAGTGCGCCAGGCGGGACGCTTCGCCCGCGATGCGCTCGAAGATGTCGTTGACGAACGAGTTCATGATGCCCATGGCCTTGGACGAGATGCCGGTGTCCGGGTGCACCTGCTTCAGCACCTTGTACACGTAGATGGAGTAGCTCTCCTTGCGGCTGCGCTTGCGCTTCTTACCGTCCTTCTTCTGAGCTTTGGTGACGGCTTTCTTCGAGCCCTTCTTGGGCGCCGGGGCAGACTTTGCCGGCTCAGGCATAACGGCGAGCACAAGCTGCAGGGACAACCAGGGACAACCAGGGACAACCAGCAACGCAAACCCAACGGCAGGGACAACCAGGGACAACCAGGAACGCAAACCCAACGGCAACACAGAGGCTACCGGAAGCGACTCGGTACTTACACTGGCGGTACGCAAATTAGGGTTCTGACTACGCCGCGTTGCGATTGGCGAGTTTTCAGTGGCGCTTCTGCGAGGGCGACGAGGTTATGTAAATGAGTGGATTCTGGTTTGAGCTATCCTATTGGTTAACAGGGCAAAGCTGTGCGGCAGCCAATCAGATGCTCCGTAGACAATCGCCGTTCTGCCTATAAAAGGTTGAAGCGGCGTTGTATTCAGGGCGACTTTCCCGGTTGTCAAGTGAGAGCTACTTCACAGGAACTACTGCTGTCATGTCTGGTCGTGGCAAACAAGGAGGCAAGGCCCGTGCTAAGGCCAAGTCTCGCTCGTCCCGCGCCGGTCTGCAGTTTCCGGTGGGGCGAGTGCACCGCCTGCTGCGCAAAGGCAACTACGCCGAGCGAGTGGGAGCTGGCGCCCCAGTCTACATGGCGGCGGTTCTCGAGTACCTGACGGCTGAAATCCTGGAGCTGGCGGGCAACGCGGCGCGAGACAACAAGAAGACGCGCATCATCCCTCGTCACTTGCAGCTGGCTATCCGCAACGACGAGGAGCTGAACAAGCTGCTGGGCAAAGTCACCATCGCCCAGGGTGGTGTCCTGCCAAACATCCAGGCCGTGTTGCTTCCCAAGAAGACTGAGAGCCACCACAAAGCCAAGGGGAAGTAAGGCCGGCAAGAAGCCCCCCCCCCAGTCCTCATCTCGATAGGGGTACCCGCGAAATCAAAGGCTCTTTTCAGAGCCACTCACACTCTCAAATAAAGAGTTGTTGCAGTAGCCATAACAAGTGTCTTCAGTTCCACCCTGCTCCAGTGGTAAATGCAGAACCCAGGGATAGGAATACTGGGGGGAGGGGGTGCTACTTGCCCGTTCCTCCCAACCGTTCCTCGCCTGTCGAGTTCGAGTGCTTAGACTATCCCCGTATCCTACTGGGGCGGGGAGTGGAGGAGTCGTAAGGCCTAAGGCTTAACTGCAGGTGGAGGTAGAAAGTCTGGGGCACCACGGTGGACTCGGTTCTAAGTATCCTGTCAGATTTCTACTCCTCTCCCCACCCCCCGCCTCCGCTCATCTTAACTGGGAGTCAGGTGCCTAGGGCGCTCTTGTAGCTGTTCCCGAGGCCCTTGACCAACACTTGAGGTCTCATAGTACATAGTAGGGGGACGTTCCCGCACGCGTACAGCCCACCCTGAACACCCCTGCCGGTTAGGGGAGCGGGCAGTTTCGGGGGTGTGGCACACCTGGGCTTTGGCTTAAGTGAGCTTACTGTCTTGGGGAGGCGGGAGGTTGGTCAGAGACGTGCCTCCCCGACGCAGATACAGGTCCCCACTCTAGGCTTTCACAGGCGGAACCTTGCGCCCGGAGTGGGGGCGGGGCGCAGGTAACTTTCCGCTGGAAAGGCAGGGAAAAAACGATCCGTTAAACCAACTAGAGGGCTCAGAGAAGGTAACAGGTGTTCACGGGGCCGGGGAACAAACGGGAGATTGCGGTTCAGTTCGGGAGCCAGAAAGCGCGGAAAGGAAGAGGGCATCGCGGGTAGCGTGTTCTAGGGAGAGAAGGGCTGAGGAACACTCTGATCTAGCTGCCCTGAAAGACGACTCTCGGGCCGAAAGAAAGACAAGGCACGGAAAACTGTTGGCAAACTGGAAAGTAGAGGGGGGAGGGGCGGTCGAGGGTAGGGAGGGTTCTGCCCAAGCCAATGAGTGGCTCGAAGGTGGATGGCGTCACAGCCAATGGGCAGCCAGCGCGGGACTTTTCAATTCTGGTCCCGCCCAATGGGGGGGGTAAAAGACAGTGCCTATAAAGAGTGCTGCCGCAGTCCGGGACCCGCTTACTCTCCCTGCTTGGCGCTGTACTGGTAACCTTGTGTTTTGGCTCGCTATGGCCCGTACGAAGCAGACCGCCCGCAAGTCGACCGGTGGCAAGGCCCCGCGGAAGCAGCTGGCCACTAAGGCGGCCCGCAAGAGCGCGCCGGCCACGGGCGGCGTGAAGAAGCCGCACCGCTACCGACCGGGCACCGTGGCCCTGCGAGAGATCCGGCGCTACCAGAAGTCGACCGAGCTGCTGATCCGCAAGCTGCCGTTCCAGCGGCTGGTGCGCGAGATTGCGCAGGACTTCAAGACAGACCTGCGCTTCCAGAGTTCGGCAGTGATGGCGCTGCAGGAGGCGAGCGAGGCCTACCTGGTGGGGCTGTTTGAAGACACGAACCTGTGCGCCATCCACGCCAAGCGCGTGACCATCATGCCCAAAGACATCCAGCTGGCCCGCCGCATCCGCGGGGAGCGGGCCTAAGAAGCGCGCGCTCGGCTCAAGGTTCCATCACATCCAAAGGCTCTTTTCAGAGCCACTCACAACTGCACTTGGAAGAAGCTGTGCCACTCGTCAGTGTTCTTCCGGCAGACCTTATAATCCGGGAGGAGAGGGCGCTAGAGTGGGCAAAGAATTGGGCGTGCAGCAAGTATGTTAGGGGCCAGGTATCGAGCCTAGTCCCTGCCTGCTAGCCGCCTTATCTGGGCGGGCGAGGTCGCCGCTGCTTTCTTGGGCGCGGCCAGGGCACCCACTCTTCGCTTCTTGGAGGCGGCCGCGGGCCATCCTGGAAGAGTGGGCTTTGCGCACTTTGGTCGGGCTTTTCCGGGGCGTCTCCGCACTCGGAGGTGGCCCAGAGCTGTAATCGCGCTGGGAGGTGGGCGGGAGGGGGGAGTGACACGCTGAGACCACGGAGAGTCACTAGGGGACGCTCGGGATTCGCGGGCCAGAGCGCGTAGGGGCTGGCCTTTTAGATTGGGCAGCTGAGAGCTGGGGATGGGCGAGAGCCCGCTACCTCCTCACCCATGCGAGAAAGGGCCCCACCCTGCGGGGCCCTCCGGCTTGGAGGGAGGTCGTCCCCTCTG